TCCCAATGGGCCAGTATTTGGATATGAGGCTTAGGTGAGGTCATGTGGGCCTTTAAAAGAAGAAGAAGAGACCAGGATGGCTCCCTCTGCCACTTGAGGACATAGCCTGCCAGCCAGGACAAAATCCACCAGCACCTTGATCTTGGAATGGCCTCCAGGATGGTAAGACATGTTTACTGTTTAAGGCATCCAGTTCATGATGAGGTTTCATTATAGCAGTCCAAGCAGACTAAGACAATAATGTATTCACCTGACAAGCTGTTTAAATAGTTGAATTTGATTACAGAAATTCAAATGGATTAAAATGTTAAAAGGAATGGCATGAATGTCACCCATTAGGGCCAACTGGGGTGCTCACATCCTAGAAGTGTCTGCACCCATAGCTTCCTGTTCAGGCACAGCTGCCAGCCTCCTGAGGCCAGTTACCCGTGTCCCTAACATTAGACTTGAGGCCCAGTGAAAAATCTCATCTTTCTCCCTACATAGGGCTCCTTGTGTGTGGTACCCACATCCACGCAGCTGCTCAACCTGGAAACTCAACTTGGCCCTGTCCTTGACATCTCCCTCTGTGCACCTGTTAGCCATCACTTCTTCCTGTGAAACAGGTTCGTGCTAGGGTCCTTCTCACCGTCCTCTCTCTCCTTGGCCTTGGCAGCTGCCTCCTAACAAGTCTTCCCTGGCTCGGACAGCCCTGTTGGAAACCCCAGGGCAGCTTTGGGGATTCCTGGAGTCTTCCCTGACCATGCTGGAATCTAGAGGCCTGGGGACAGACCAGCCTACGATGCAGGGTGCTCCTAGATGAAGACTGGTATGTATAAATCAGGTGGGGGACGGTAGGACTCTGGTGTTTACCGAGGGAGCTCTGTTTGTCTATCAGCTCATTTCCATCCAAATGATGTGCGCACTGAATGGTGCTGATCCTGGCAGAAGCTATCAGTGCTCTACTTCAGGATGGGGGTCAGTCTTGCTTTATTTGCTTCGGTGGGTGAGGTGTTCAGTGGGAAACTCCTCATATATCAGAGAGCATGTGGGGAAGGTTGCAAGTTGAACCCAAATAATCATTTGCCCTTCTTTAATGAGATTCTGAATTTTGGCAAAATGTCTAGATTTTGTCATCTAGACATTTCCTAACCTTTCTTGCAGCTAGCTATAACCCATATGAGTAAGTCCTGGCAAAGTGTGTGTAAGTCACAGCAATGTATGCAACTTTGAGGATGTATCTTAAAGGGAAGGAAAGTGTTCTGTTTTTTTTCTGGCCAGAATGTAGATGTGATGGCTAGAACTGGAGCAGCCATATGGGACCAAGGAGTAGAGAAGCAATTCAATACATATTGAATGACCAGACTGGAGGAGTCTGTGACCCCTGACTGTGGAGTCACTGTACCAGCTCTGGACTGCCAGTGTTTATGTGTGAGAGAGAAACTACTCTGCCACTGTTGCATTGGTTTCTGGATGTAGAATTTGGAATTTGGAAACGGGACACTGCAAATAGCGTATTGAACGTGGCGATGGCTAGCGGAGTCAGGAGGCCAGCAGATGGCAGAGATATACGTTTGGTCTCATGTAATCGAAGCATTTGATGAAACTTATCTGTAGTACCTTCAAAGAGCGACCACATGCTGAATGATGTCACAGCAATGGTAGGAAGGGGTTAGGTACGGTGACAACGGTGGGAAGGGGCAAGTTGTAAATGAGGCTTGTGTGGCCTTTCACAAGGTCCTATGAAGGCCACACAAACGGGCTAGAGCCAGTGAGACCTCAGAGACAAGGAACCCCAGTCCTGAGGTGTTGAAAACACCAACTGCTTTTGTCCTCCAAACTGCAGCTGTTAACAGTGGCCTTGAGGAGGGGGAGATGAGGCTGGACTTTCCTGCCCTGCTGAAGGCAGAGCCATCTGGCAGTTCTTCGTGACGCTGGTAAGCTTGTACTTATGGCAAGCTGCTGCTGTCTTGACTGTGGGACACACTTCTGATCTAGAATTTCCCATGCAACATTAAGGGAAAGACAGGGACTGGGCATGGGAAGTCAGGCTCCTAACCAAGGGAAGGTGAGATGGGCAGAACATCCTGTTCCAAGAGTCGATGTTAGGGGAAAAAAGAGAAAGCAAACAAAATAAGTAAATAGCAGAAATCAAACATTCAGAAGAATAAAACAGACAATAACAGTATTGCATAGCTTGACTGCTTTTATATTGAGGAAGATTGTTTTTTAAGGAGTTACTATCAGAACAGGTCAGGATGAAAAAACATTCCAAATTTACAGAAAAAAACATTGCTGAGCAATTAAGATATGTTTCAAAAACAGTATGGCTTGACAGAATCCTTTGGTTGCTCCGAATGGAACAGAAGCTATCAAGATGGCAAGACAGTCAGCACGAGACACTCTGGGTTTGGTTCCAAGGGTTGAGGTCACAAGGCTTTTCCTAGGATGACAGGCAAGAACTAAGGGTGGCAATCTTATCTTTGTGTTCAACAGTGCTATGGTCTAAGGGACAACCTTTTTCTGGCCACGATACAGATTTGGGTTAATTTCATTCCCTGGAATATCAGAGCTCAGCTACTCCAGCCCAACTGTCTCCTTCTACCTAAAGGCCACTAAGGGCAAGGGATCTTGCCTAAGTCCAGGTCTAGGCTAAGTCCTGCCTCTAAACTTTCCCCACGGATTGCTGCCTCTTCACCTCTGTAGCTGTTCACAAATGATGACTTCTGAGGAAGAAAAAGAGGCCACCCAGGCGTACAGCAGCAGCAGCACCTCACTAATCTAAAAGCAGAGGTAAGCACACACAGCTGCAGGAAGGTCGATGCAACTCTGTGATCCAGCCACTCCAGCTCCCCACTCATGGCCAAACCCAGTTGTTTTTTCCCTCTGCAAAGTCAAAACACCAAGTGGAGGATGTAGAGTGACACCAGCAGGGAGCCCATCCTGAGGAGGGCAGCACATTAGTGTTTCTGATTACATCTTCTGGAAGGTGCTGGAGCCCAGGATGTCATGTCTGCTCCATTCACATCCAATCAAATATTGACCCTGATTCTCACACTGTTCTTCACTCAGGATGAAGACTGCTTCCTGGGAGTGATTGCTGAAGGGTGTGAACCGCTGAGCCAGCAGTCTGGAGCTATGAGTTTTAACTGGTGTATCTGCAGTCCTTATGTGTGCATTTTGCTCTAATGGTTTTCTCGTCATGCCCTTTCCAGTATTTCATGGATTTTTTTTTTTTTCCTGGCAGGATCTGCTGGCTCTGAACTCCTGGCCCACACAGCGGCAGAACAAGGCTGGCTGCAACCTTTTTAAAGCTTTTTAGAAATTTATGTAACCATAATAGCAGCATTTTTGCAGACGTATTAAAGAGTTTATTTTTTAAAAATAATAAAGCACCCATCTCTGAGGTTATTTAGACTTCTCGAGCTTTTTACATACAGGATTATAGTGATCCATTTTTATTGAATGGCAATGATGTACCAAATATCCTGGTGGTATTTAAATTTTGTCAGCATTCCCTCCTCTTCCTCTCTTTGGTTCTTTGCTAGAAGAATTTTTCTGACTCCAGGTTGAGCAGAGCTATGGTGTGGTATCCTTTGTGTTCTTGGTCTCCCTTCTAGAAGAGGATTGCTCTCCTATTAAAAACCTGGCAGAGGCCCAGGTGTGGTGGCTCATACCTATAATCTCAGCTACATGGGAGGCAAAGATTGGGAGGAATGTGGTTCGAGGTCAGCCCAGGCGAAAAGTTAGCAAGACCCCATCTTGACAAACAAGCTGGGGGGCAGTTGCTCATCACCATAATCCCAGCTATGTGGGAGGCATAGGTGGGAGGATCAAGGTTTGAGGCTAGCCCCAGGCAAAAATGTAAGACCCTATTTGAAAAATAACTAAATCAAAAAGGGACTAGTATTTAGAGGCTCCAGTGGTAGAGTATCTGTCTCACAAGCGTGAGGCCCTGAGTTCAAACAAAAACACCCACAGTTTCTACTTGTTTGATGCTAATCAGTGAGAAGTCAATTTTGCCAGTACCCCCACCCTAGCAGCGCCAGCTCACACTCCAGGGGAAGGAAATTCACATCCTCATGCCAGCTTAGTCCTGGGAACTTTCTCGTCTTTTACAGAGAAGGAAAACAGAGGCGCAGGCCCTCGGTGCCTGGTGGAGAGCTAGTAGTGCTGATGGGGGGTGGTCAGGAACCACGTCTCCCCACATCTCCCAGCTTTAATTCTAACCTCCGGTAGTTCGTTACACAGCACAGGCTTTCAGCACTGGGGATCGCCTCTCCCTCCATGCCACTTAACAGTAAGACATGCATGCGTGGGGAAAGGCAGAAGTACGGCAGCAGCTATGCTGGGTGTGATAAATAGAAACCCACTCCTCGGACACACTCTATCCATCTCTCAACAAGGGAGTGATTTAACTGGTCCAGGGTCTGCTAAATACCAAAATGGCTTCATCTACATGCACTGTAACACGAAAGCATTCTTCTTCTATAAATACTGTTAGAAGAAACTGGCATAGCTTCCTCTTTTGGGTACACACAAAAAAACTCGCTATTTAAAAATACCACATTAAAACGCTTATGCAATTTATTTTCTTTAAATAATAATTTGCTACAATCCTGTCACAGATTAAAAAAAATTTAACAACGGTGTTCACAAAGGCAGAATTCTTTAGGACAATCAAAATCCTAGGGTACTTAGAACAAATTAACACCAAATTGTGTTTCTATTCAGATAGTCCTCTCCTTTGAAATGAAACGGAGACCACTGTGGCTAGGGTGAATGCACACGTTTGTTCTTCTCTACTGAGATTCATTCTTTACATAAACTCAACGGTGATGTGAATCAAGTTAGGAATCCTGAGAACACTGGCCCTCAGGGGTGCGGGCACACACATGCACACCCCCCACGGGGCACCCTCGAGAAGCAGGGTTTCCCATGGTCATTTGTCAAAGTCTTTCTCAGAAGGGCCGAAGAGTCTGAACATTTAGATATTAACATACCCCCGCCCCCACCAGGACATTGCCTCGTTTTAGTGCGAGAGCATGAAGTAGCAGCAATCCACGTAGTAGACTCAGTAGTCAGCGCCTCTGGTCCAGGGACAGAGGACACAGTGACAGCAAGCAGAGGCGAGAGACGCGCCTGCTTCTATGCTAGTTCTCGGCGCCCCGGCTCGACCTTCACCTGAACACACATTACTCACATGGTTCAGGCACAGGTGTGAACCTGAAGGAGAAACGCAGGGGGAAAGCAGGCACGTTTTGGACGTGACTCTCAGGAATCTGGGGAGGGGTGAGAGATGAGAGAGGCAAAAGGGAGGGCAGAAAATGCACTGCTTGTCCCTCATCCGAGGTCCCTGTGTCCTGCACATGTACATTCACCAGGGTTCCTGGTGTCGGGGGTAAGCAGTGACCGCTAACTGCTCCAGTCCTGCCTAGAGGCACGGGAAACTCAGCCCAGAGGCCTACACACAACACACGAAACACCTAAGCAACCCTAGGAAACCCACTGGCCACTGTCAGGGGATCAACAGCACTGCTGGTGCCCTCTCTGGTTGCCCAAGGAGGCCCACAGGGCACAGAGATGCCTAGGGAGGAAGGCATTTGGACAGACCCCAAACCGAGATCCCCTTTTGCTATTTCTCTCCAGTCTAAAGGAAGCCACAGCGGCATGCATATCTACACCAGCTCCCGTGTCCAGGATGCCTCTTCCTCAGAAATTTAAAGTGCCGGGTTCACATGTGCTCATCCCCTGCCCACAACGACCCGTTCCTCTTGGGGCCTCTGGAGGAAGGCCTGTCCCCCTGGGGAAGGAGGAATGAACACTTCACAGTTGTCCTAACTGGGATCCAGCCTCTGGACTAAGCCTTCTTCATACACACGAAGGATCGCTTCGCACACAAACTTGTACTGGCTCTGGAAAAGAGGAGAAAGCTGTCAGGTCCGGAAGCCCCAGGAATGCTGCGTCCTGCTTCCCATGCCCGAGTCTGCAGTGTTTGTAACCACTCCCTGAGAGCTGGGCTGCAGGCTGGGGAACAGTGGGGTAAACTCAACTCCCGCACAGTGCAGGGAGGGCTGCCCCAGGGGAGGTAGACAGAGGGTTGCAGAAACATGGCAGAGCTGGCTGTCTGGGGAACTGAGGGAAGAGCCCAGGTCCCTGTGGGGTGGTCATTGTAGAGGACAGCCCATTATGGGAAGAGTAGTCAGGACTGGAACACCTGGGTTTTGAGTGGTGGGGTGGGGGTGGCACATAGGTGGGCTGGGATCTGGGTGGGGGACACCCTTGCATGGGGCAAGGTGTCTGGATTTTGTCTTAAAAACGAGGCCACAAAAAGATGCTCTGCAGAGTGTAGTTATTTATACAGTTGTCCCTCAGCATCGGTGGTAGACTGGTTCCAGGACCCTGTTGATCCCCAACTGCACAGATGCACAAATCCCTTACATAACACGGCAGTGTTTGCATGCCATTCAGGAACACCCTCCCCACATCCTTCTGCATGCCTCAAATCACCTCTAGACGCTCACAATACCTAACACAATGGAAACGCTGTGCAAACACTTCTTAAACTGTATTGTTTAGGGAATAATGACAAGAAAAAAGAGAGAACACATTTGGTACAGATACAATTTTTTTCCCTAATATTTTTGATCTGTGATCGCCTGGATCCTTGGCTGTGGAATTCATAGATATAGAAAGCTAAGAAGCATATTTTAGGGAAGTGTGCAAAAAAACCAAAAGCATTTAAAAGAAGCCTCTCTGGTTACGAAAATCTACCAAGGCGATGGGCTTTCTTTTTAACCAGCAACGAGGTCTTCCATACCACAAAACAGACCTTACATATGTAAGCTGAGTTTTTCCCCACTTGAACAGATTTCCTGGGTACAAACTAATATAACTACAAGGGCTCACCATCTATTAGGAAAATCTCACAAACTGTCCCCGAACCTGTCACAACACAGAGCTGGCTGGAACATAAAGTTCTTGTGCTTTCCTTGGCTATCTCTTCCTCACCCATTCTGGGGGTCTTGCCTAGAGGTCACTCCTTCAGGAAGCCTTCCTTGCCTTTCCAAGGTGTGCTTTAGGTGCTCTTCTAGCATGTTCTCAGATACCTCTGGAACCTTGCCCCTGTCTGCTGAGATTACAAAGGACTAAGCCAGTTCTCCTACTGGATACAAGTTTGGGTGTCTCTCACTTGCACAGTTATCTGATGAATGAATGAATGTGGGATAGTCCCATTTTGCAGATGGGAATAGTGAAGCTAGGAGAGAGGCTCTTAGGGGTCAACCTTCGGGCTGACCAAATCACATTTTTTCTACACCACCACCCTTCCTCTTTGGCAGGTCTGGGGTAAAATACAGAGATGTCCACAAGGACACCTGCAGCACCAAGTGCTCAGTCACAAACGGCTGGAGAGAGCCCAGAGAAGCAGAGAGAGTGGTGTGTGTGCTGCAGCTCGGCTCCTGCTGTCTTCTGATAGGCTCCCTGTGCAGAACGGAGCCGAGCTGCTCCTGGCAGTGTGGTGGGCGGGGTGGCCAGAGGCAGAACACAGGTGTGTGCTGGGGAAGCATGCAGTCCTCTGTGACCATGGGCTCGTGACTCAGTCTCCTTGAGTCTCAGTCTCGTCACAAAGCCTTTCGCCCATACCTGTTCCAGTGCAAGAGCTCAGGATGTATGAACCATCATCATTTGTATTACTGGATTTCTACTCACTGATGTCTGCACCATCATGGCGCGCTGGCCTCGCATTTTCCGAACGATATCCAGTGGGTAAACGGGCAGGTTTCTCTCAATTAAGCACATGGCTGTTTCCATAGTGACCAACACACCCGTTCGGCCTATTCCAGCGCTGGAGAAGAAAGAAGCAGACTTGGGATTTGCCTGAGCAGTATGTCTTTGTGGCCAGCTAAACTGTTACCCAATGTCCACTACCCAGTCCAGGGAGACCTGGCCTTGGTCTCTGGTGTGCTGTCAAGCTGGATGAAAAAGTAGTCTTCATAGGTCCTAAAGCAGGGGCTTAACGACCAGTGGAAAGAAACCTTTCAGGGCAAAATTCACTTCTTTTCTTATTCACACCTGCTGTGCAGGCCAGGGAACTTCGTCATAGAGGGAGATGTGGCTACGACTTTCCTCTTTGGCTCTGGGCTATTCACACACATTTATGAGTTTGTACAAGCATATAATTTTGTGGGATCTAGGGTGGGTTTGGTGTTTGCTGATTTTCTCCATGTCTTTCCCAAGGGTTATTAAGTATTTAAACCAAAACAAGCCACAGTACCTGCAGTGAACTAAGACGTGCTCCCCGTCCACCCTCAGGGACCTCACATAGTTCACAAATTCCAGAAAGTCTGAAGAGTCATCTGGCACACCGTGATCAGGCCATGCGACATACTGGAGATGTGTCACAGTGTGTTCTTCCCCAGTCTGCAGAAGACGTAGCAGTTTAGGTGAGTAAATCAAGATAGAAGGATTTGACCCACACAAGAGCAAGGGTGACCCTGTCTCCAGTGTTCTTTCTCCCACTGTGTCCAGCTCTGCTGAGGCCCCTGCCAACCCTCTGCCCCTAGGACCCTTTTCATGGGACTTAGCTCAGGCCACCTCCCACAGCACTGCCTTCTCAAACTCTTGTGCCTAGCGCCACTTCTTCTTATGTTCCTAGGGCATTTATAATTAGGGACACACACACACTTTTTTGTGGTGCTGGGGATCCAACCCAGGCCTGCACTCTATCCCTGACCTATACTCTCAATCCCTTTTTTGTTGGGGCACAACAATAAATGTAAGAAGCTTTATCGTTTTCATCATTTTAAGATGTAAGGTTCAGAGGTATTCTGAACCTAATACTTCACAGTGTTAGGCCACCACTACCACTATTTCCAGAGCTTTGAAAAATTTTTTCTTTTAGTTTTTTTGAGTCAAGGTCTTTCTGGCTGAACTTGTGACCCTCCTGCCTCAGCCTTCCAAGTCCTGGAATTATAGCTGTGTGCTCCCATGCCCAGCTCAGAACTTCAAAAAAAAAATCACCCAAACATAAACTCTGTAGCCAGAATAATATAACTCCCCATTTTCCCCCTTCCTCTAACACAGGGTCAACAATGTTCTCCTTTCTGTCTTTACGAATTCGATTATTCTAGGTTCTTCATGTAAATGGAATCCTAAGTATTTGTTCTTCTTTGTCCTCTTTCACTTGCACTAAGTCCTTAAGGTTTGTCTATGTTGTCACAGGTGTCAAAATGTCCTCCTTTTCAAGGCTGACTGCTACTCTGTCACCTAGATTCCCCCATTTTGTCCACCAAGGTAGCCCTATGCATACTGACCCTGGCTCTCTGACAGGTAGTTTTGTGTCTTTACTGACCTGCCCACCAGATGACAAGAGAACAGACCTGGCTGTAAGGCCCCACTAGGACCACAGGGTCTACTGATTAGGCACTTGCCCCTCCACTGTGCCCTCAGACTGCTGCTCACCTCGGTGTTTGTGACCAGCATCTCTCGGGACACATAGGCAATGGTGCAGTCCTCTGAGCGACACTGGATGTGAAAGATGCCATGGTCCATGACGGCAGGAGGATCGGGCCAATATTGGTGACACTTGGTCTGTAAGAAACCACTGAGGTAAATTAGCCTCCTCTGTGGAAGGCACACTGGTCAGGCGTCCAGCCCATCCGTGAGAGCCGATGGGAGAAGAGGAACTCAAGAAGAGGTCCAGCTGCTGTGTGGGTGCAGTCTTTGTCCCCTTCTGCAGAGTGGGGTGGGGTCAGCCTACTAGGGACTAACTGGACTTGGCTGGAGCCTGCAGGAGGACAGGGGACTCCCTCCTCTTTCTCTTCTAAGCTCCTTCACTGGAAGCACAGCACAGGCTTCTGAGCAACCTCCACTCACCCCGTCTCACTTAGGTCCAGTCAGGTCCCTTAGGCCCCTTCTCTGCTCTCAGTAGACCCTCCTGGCACTGCTCTCCTCGCCCTCTACCCTGTCTCACAGGTGGGGGCTCCAGTGCAGGGTCAAGCATGCACATCTGGGTGTCAGACAGAGCTCCACTGGAATCTCCTCCCCAACCTGTTCCATGACTGTATGAGCCACGACTGAACAAGCCACTTGGCCTCTGTAGTCAGGATGCAACTTAAGAAATAAATTCCCTGGGGAGGTGCCACATACGCCTGGCTAACAGATAATGAGGGCGAGGAAGTTGTTAGAGTTCTGTGCTGCTCCAAACCTCTTCCTGTAACCTCCTGTCATTGTCATGGCAACCTGGGGCCCTTACTGTTACAGTAAACCCATTTGCCTCTGGTCCAGTGAGATGAGGTCACTGGGATCCAGAGTTGCTACTTCACCCTGAACACCTACTGTAGGATAGGGCTGAGGGCCAAGGAAATTTGTCCTTAATCCTCAAAACAACCTGAGAGGCACTGTGCCTCCTTTCCAGTGATGAGGGCCCTGAGGCTGAGTCTGTTGACAATTACACAGATAGGATGTCAGAATCCAAACACCTCCTCTGACCCCAGAGCCTGTGCCTTAAATTACTTACAGGAAAAGAAAACATTCCATATGATACATCTAAAGATATAAAAATTAATCATGCCCAGAAGAAACATCTGATGGAAGGCGAGGAAGAATGGTCTTCCCAAGTGAAAAGAGATTCCTCTAGGAAGAATCCCCTGAGTCTTGAGGGACAGTACAGTGAAAGCCACTGTGGGTAGAAATGAGGAAAGGGAGGAATCGGGCCTGCCGTGGTAGGCCTTGACTCTTTCTCCACCTATAGCACAGTGCCAGGTGTGTGGCCTCTGACCAGTGTTCACCTGGTAGGAGTCCATCTCTACTAACTGCACAATATGGTAGAAAACAGAGGATATGCTGGAAAGTTCATCTCTCAGAAAAAGAGAGGGGCATAGCTGTTCCCCTGGAATGACCCACTGACTCCCAACCTGGAAGAACTGGGGGAGGTACTGAGGATGAGAAGGGGATTGCAAGACAAAGGTTCATCCAAGAGTCTGTAAGAGAAGGGGTGGGGGGGGACCATGCACCCTGGATTTCGGAAGAACATGTTTCTAACAATTGATAAATAAACAGTAAGTTCCCAGAACCAGAGTTGCTGAGAGCATGCTGTGCTCAGGGGAGATGGAATCTAATGCAGAAAGCCAATACGAGCAGCCGAATGGATTCCATTAGAAAGAAAAGAGCTGGAAACAAACCTGCTGGGTCACATGGCGACCTCAGATGAGCTTGGGTTCAGAGTGGACACCAACAACAGAGGAGGGGAGAAAGGCCTTTTCTCCTGAGCTGGAGCAAGCACAGCGAGGGAAAGAAGGGGGCTGCCATTCAGGGCAGATCACCTGTCACCAACCGTTCCTGTGGGGGTTCCCCTTTCTCTGAGAAGAAAGAGAACTGTCCAGCTGAAAAGGGAAGAGAGAACTTTAAAGGAGAAAGAGGGGGCCAACACAGACAAGAAGCCAGTCAGGGTCGAACCATCGAATGGGCTCAGCTGTCGGCTCTAAGGAGATGCACTATGAACTAAGAGAGCCTACAATATAGTAGTGGCACCTCTACAAACTGCTTCTGAGAAAATGTGGAGCCACCCAAAGTAACAGAATTTAGGGCCACAGGAAGGCAGAGAGATCCCAGGAGGGAAGGGCAAAAGACTTGATGTTTATTACCTTTAAAATAACCAAATAGCACAGATTTGAGACCGCAAAGTACAGATACCAGTGGTTCACTGGGAGACTGGGTTTCCATTAAGCAACACAGAACTACGTGGTTCTGTGTTTTGTTTCTGATGCGGTATTTTTGACTGTGCCTTAGAGAGAGCCACAATGTGGGGCTCCGTTTTAACATTACCTCCCTAGTACCTGAACTCTGTTTTTACAATGGAGACTGAGAGCTACGGGTTCAGCCTGGAAGGCAAGAGACTTTAGAATTTAATAGCACTGTTTTTCAAAAGGATTTTTGCATCTTCACACATATTTTCTATTTATGGCAAGTGATACGGAACTTCCAGTTAAGAAATCTCTTTCAAAGGAAATTTACTAAAACCAAATAAGTGAGTCGATTTAAAGAAAAATATTAAATAAGACTACAAAATAAATGGAGGACAAATGGTTCTGGGAAGCATCATTAAGGTGGCACCCAAATTACTACTACCCCTGATAACATTTATATAGTATTTACTGTGCGCTAAGCACTCTTCCTAGAGGCAACCCATATCAACTCATTTAATTACCCCACAATCCCACAAGGTAGGTGCTACTATTAAACCATCTGACACAGTTCAGAAACCACACAGGTAGGAAGCAGTAAAGCCAGGAGTTGAACTTGGGAAGTATGGCTTTCATATCTACCCTCTAATTCACTACACCACATACTCAGATAGCTGCAGGCACTTTAGAAAAATAGTACTGAGAGCTGGCTTAGGGAACCGGGGTTCCCTAAGTTCAAAAAAGGTACAAGTAAATTTGTTTCATATTAAAACAAAAACAGACAAAAATGAGACTTCCAGACAGAAGCATAGTTAGGTACATGTCGATTTTAGGCAAGCCTTATGGTCTGACATGGTAACTGGGCAGATCAGAAATGGGAGAAATGGGAGCACAGCAGAATTAACAATTGCTCTCCAACATGTGCTCTCAATGCCTCTGAGGAATAGCATTCAGGAGGAAGTTTCTACTGTCTTTTTACAATTTTTCATCAGTGACTTATGTGATGAGAAGAGACCAAATCTGAGTGATGAGAGGCCAGGAGTGATAATTAATGAAAAAAAAAAAAAAAAAGGAAGTACCAAAGAGTTCTCTAAAGGCCAAATATGAGGCTGAATCTGATGACAACGATGATGATGGCAGTAACAACGGAACCAGAGCAGCATTTGCTGGACACTTGAAGCATACAGTTATCTAAGCTCTCAGTTTCCACCAACCCTCTATGGTGGACACTACTGCCAGCTCCACTGCACATTCAGGAGAGCTCAGGGTCAGAGAGATTTAGTAACTGCTCAAGAGCACATTTCAATCCATGGCTCCAGTATGCAGATGGATGGAGGTTCTAAGAGTCAAGGGCATGAGCACTGACGGGAAGAGACTGGTTCATGGCAATATCAAGACAAGGTCCACACAATCTCTGCTGACCACGATCTTAAGGAAACCCAAGGTTATTTCAGATATCTGAAGGGACATTGCAGAGATGGGTGGGGAACTTATTTTATGTCTTCTACATAGCAGAACTAAATGAGGGTGGTGGTTAAAGGTGTCATGTTCGTTGAGAGAATATTTTTGTTTCTTTTTTTTTCTTTAAAAGACTTGAGCATCCATCCACATGATGGATCCTGGAAGAGTTCTGGTAGAGCTGCCTATCTGAGACAACACTTGTAAAAGCCCTTTGCAACCCATGGGACTCTAAGGAATTAGTAAGAATTCTTATTTTATTGTTTAAGGTGGGAAAGAAGGCTGACATCCTCAAAGGTACTACCCATTCCAAGTCCTGTGTATTCTCATTTTCAACATGGATTTCTCTGGCACTATGAATAACACACTGCGGTGGGAACCTTGGGAAGAGATGATATCCAGATCACTCAAAGCAGGTGGTTTCAAACTAATCTATATTTGGTTTTAGAATGTGCTTCTGAATAAACATTTCATAATGAAGATACCAGATGTATCTAGAGTTAGGGAATTCATGCCAGAAGTATGCCTTGCATGCTGACTTTTACATCATCAGTGACCTGTTTCTATGGGAAATGGTATGACAATATAATTTATCTTACTCTTTTTTGGTGGTACTAGGGTTTGAATTCAGGGCTTTGCGCTTGCTTGGTAGGTGCTCTACCACTTGAGCCAGGTCCCCAGCCAATTTCTCTGACTTTTTACACACTGTTTACCTGGTACACATTGCTCCTTCGGGACCAGCAGTTAATACAGGGGTTGTGGGGCTGGTGGGGTAAGTCAAGTGGAATTGTCTCTGGATTGTTATATAATGGGTCCAAGGAGAGTGGGCAGCAGGAGGGCTGAGATTCCTGTTGTTGGGGATGTCCAGTTGGAGGCTCCCAACAGGAGATGCACAGGTCACATGGTGCTGGACCAGGAGACCCTTCCCTGTCCTGAGATTCATGTTCCTCACAGAATGGTGTGACCCCACACATGGCTGCATTGGAAATCAAGCCACTTACCCGCCCTCGCTCTGTGAGGGTCGTCAACATGACGATGAGTGACAACTTCTGATCCCAGACAACTTGCCAAAATTGTGCACAGGTGTGTGGCAGGGGTCCCTGAGCGGCGATGTACTTGTTCGCAAGGTTAGCAGCAGGAATTTCCATCTAATAAGAGATTGGTGAGGCATTAGAGCGTGTCACTGCCAGATGGTAGACAAGATTCTGCATTTTAAACTCTCCCTGTGGCTAGCTGAATCACTTCACAAAAATGCCTCTTTCCAATTCACAGAGAAGAAAAAAAAAAATCAAAGAAAAAGTGATTTCTACAAATTCTTGAAAAATATTTGACAATAATGCTAGTACCAGGAACTTTAAGATTTAACCATATGATACTCAGTAGACAAACCCCAGAAATGAGCATTCAAGATGGGAGAAGAATTTAAATGACTTTAATTGCTCTATTCTAAATGTAACCAGTATTAATTATCTGTGTTTTCAGCAATACATGCCAGTTCCCACCCAAGTCTTCTCCCGTGCAGGGTTTTCCATCAAAATCTATGTAATTTCATTTATTTGATTTTTAAACAGCTTTACTGGGATATGCTTTATATGCTGTGAAATTAGGGCAGGGACTATCTACTTTTACATGCATATAAACTATATGGGTTTATACTACAATTCTATTGAACTTTGCTTTCTTCATGGCTTCTAATGGTTATACCATTAATTTGGTCAATCTTGATAGTAAATGTTGAAATGTCTTGAAATGAACATTTCTCCCATCCTGCTCTGTTTTTACCTTTTCCCTTCAGGACTGAATCCTTTCTATGACCAAACACTCACAACAGGTTGAACTTTGAACTAGCACTGTGATCCACTCTCTCCTAGATAGGGAAGTATTTAATGGTGTCCTCAATCCTGTGTAACAGGAGGAGACTGGATTTCATGGGGGTTGCCAACCCCACCATTTCTGATGCTTTTATGACACTGGGAGGACTGGAGGCATGATTAAAGTGGTAGAGCAACTGCCCAGCAAGCATGAGGCCTCAGTTCAACCCCCAAACAAAACCCAAACCAAGAGATACCAGGAATGACAAAAGTCCATGGGTTCATGAATCCCAGAGGAGTGCTGGAATCACTGATCAGACTAATTTTTACTAGGGAAGTTCTTGATATTTTGCTATAACTTGAGACATCCAGGAAATCATGTTTATTTAGACTGGGTAGACAAAAACCTGAGGGCCAAATCTGTCTGTTACCTTGCAAGCTAAAAGTGGTTTTCAATATTTTTAAATGGCTACATTTTCAATGCAAAGATCAAATAGCTACCATCTGGCCCTCTACTAAAAGGTGCAGATTCTGTGTTTCAATGAAGAAACTGAGGTTCAGAAAGGTTAAGCAAGTTGCTCAAGACACATTTTCAGAGAAAAAAAAAAATGAATGCTTTCCCCATAATGGGTGAACTTTTCCTTTTGTTCTCTTGGGCTCTATATACAGAGGAGATCTTATTGTTTTTTAGGCAGGATGACACTAGTAACATGGGGGAAAACTCAGAAAGTTTCAAACACACCACTGGTAGAAACAAATGTCTCAATGGCAGTACCCCAGTACAGAGGTATGGGGATGATGGAATGAGAAATACAGAATGCGTTTCGGTGCTGTCCTATCTTAGCTTTGTGCTTTTTCTAACTATTCAATCTCTGAACCTGAGTTTCTCACTCTGTAAAGTGAGTCTGCTTTGCTTTCCTTCCCAGGGCCACTGCCACTGCGCTGCAGAGAGGGAGTGAACAGGACAGCACTTTGTCAACAGCAAAGCATCAAGCAGGCCGAGTCCCCATTCTTGTTATCCTGATGAATGTTCTTTCTTTTTAGCCAGACTCCGTACTTACATTCACATAACTCGCATTAATATAATCTTCATTTCCCTGCAATGATACCCGGGTGGTGTCATCTGTGAGAGAGAAAAAGTTACTGATTATTCTCAGAGTTATTTTATCATACCAAGTAAACAAGGGTTCAGTTCCCAGCCCCATCTGCAGCTCTCATCTCATTAGCATAAACACCATTCCCCAGCTGTTCAGTCTGAAATGGCTGCAATAAAGATGGTGGTGTTTACAGACACACTGAAAACCGTTCCAGAATACCAGACAATCTGTTTTAAAAAAGGCAAACATTATCTCAGTGCAGGGGCAAAGGAGGCCTTCAGACCAGTACTCACAAGGCAGCACATCTTTATATCGGTTTTTGTCCAAATTTTGAGGCAGCTTTGCAAATGTGATGGCCAAACCTGGCTTCTTTCTGTAGAGTTGCTATATGACAAATAGAGAAGAAAAATCAAAACAAAACAAAACAAAAATCATTGGAAAAAACAGCTATGAAGGTATGAAAGCAGGACTTAACCACAAAGGTTATCATGCACTGCACCAAAATCTTAACATTATAAAGTGATATGTTACATATTAAAAGATACTCTTCCCAATAAGAAATTCGACAGTTAGAGGAGAAACCAACCAAACTGTTCAATAATTCCTTTTTAAATTTTGAGCATCTTTCGGGGGAAAGAAGTTGGAGGTAAGGTCTGAGTCACAGGTAACAGATCTGGTAAGTAAAGCCTTATCTTTATGACAATTATCTGACAAATGTTAAAAGTATGTGGAGGGGCAAAATAGAATTGACTCATCTAAATTAGTCTAAAACCCCATTTCTCCAATTCAATGAAATGAACCATAGCCTTTGCTTAAGAGCAAGAACACTTCATTCATCATTTTGGAAGTACATATCCAGAGTAAAACATTTACCCCAATACATAGTCAACTTCAATGGAAGAGGTGTTTCCACATACACTTGAAAAATTCAAATGGAATGATCTTTGCATGTCTGCAAGCACACGTTAGACACACACTGACTTGACCTGCTTTTCACTACAGCTCTGTGGGAGGAATTACTAGTCTGCTTAGTTTATAAGTGACAGTCAGAGGTTAAATGCTTTGCCCAAGATCACAAACATGAGGACAAACTCAATGCTTGTGTTTTCTTTTCTATAAAGATGTTTCCCCACTTTGACAATGATTTGCTGAGTCCTTTTCACCTGCGGTTATTATTAGCTCTCTGGGAATTTAAAAACAACTTTTTTTTAATGGAGCAAATGATTTTTTGGGGGGGCAGAAAATGTGGGAAATTCCAACTAATACAAAGAAAGAATTATCAGCAATTTTACAACTCTGAGATGACCTTTTCACATATTTTCTCTGTGTATACCATGCATGGATATAAATGTATGTTAAGCATGTATGCAGACATCTATAATACATGTATACACCACATTCTTAAAAACAAAAAATGAGATTAACTACATATTGGCATTTTTCATACTACATTCAGTGGAAACCAAGTGTCTTAAAATAAAGAACATGAGGGTTAATCTTGGTTGTCAAGTGGACTGAAATGAGAGATGCCCAGGAGATTAGTAAAGCACACCTCTGGGTGTATTGGAGAGGGGATTTCCAGAGATGATTAACAAGGGGGGAAGACCTGCCCTGAATGTGGGCGGTACCATACAAAAGGTTGGAGGCTCGATGGAATGAAAGGGGAAGAAGGAGAAATGCTAGCACAGGCATTCTCTCTCTGCTTCCTGGCTGCCATAAAGGGGAGCAGCTCTGTTCCAGCATGCTCTTCCGTCACGATGTTCTGTGTCTGTCTCACCACAGGCCCAGAAAAAATGGAGTCACCTAACCATGGACTAACCTCTGAAGTCATGAGCCAAAATAAATCCTTCTTCCCTTTAAACTGTTTCTCTCAGATATTTGTCACAGCAATGAAAAGCTAACACAGTATTCCTTAGAAAAAGTTTTGAAGTCATGGGTTAGGGTGTGGCTCAGGCGGTAGAGTTCCTGCCTAGGAAGTGTAGGGGCCTGAGTTCAAATCCCAGTACCATTAAAAAAACCAAAAATTTTTTTTGAAAATATTTATCTTATGTTCTATAAATTTCCAACAAGATGAGTCCTAAAATGCATGAATTTATTTAATTCTGATCATCTAAGCATTTCTCGAGCTAATTTAGACCTGATGACCTCAGCATCTCACAAGAAGAGTCAGGGAAACACTCCATAATGTCTCCGAATTATTATGTCATGCTTTTTCTCATGTCACTAGGCGTTCTCCACACATGATTTTTTAATGGCTCAATAATCTACTTTTCTATAATTTATCTTAATTTTTACTTTACTTTTTCAGTAGGTTGTTTTCACCTTTCTACATGACTAAGAACAGAATTATGGCACTGGAGCACATTTTTAAGACTCTGATACACATAACCAACTTGCCCTACAGGCATGTAGGTCGGTTAGTTCACTGAACTGTAGTCAACATCCTCAACTAAGATATCTTTGTTTTGAATAGGTAGGCTGAACATTATTCCTCCCCCTCATATTTTTGTGAACTGTATTGTTTTATAAACCAGCTTCTATTGTTTTTTCTTTCTCTTTTTTTTTTGCAATACTGGGCCTTCACCTTGAGCCACTCCACCAACCCTTTTTTGTGAAGGATTTTCTCAAGATAGGGTCTCACAAACTATTTGCCCTGATTGGCTTTGAACTGTGAACCTTCTGATCTCTGCCTCCAAAATAGCTAGGATTACAGGTGTGAGCCACCTGTAATTGTTTTATTAAACAAATTGCACAGAACTCACCAGAAGAGAATTAACATAGTGATTTGGGGTCATAAGAGTAGTGTTATAACTTATACATGTACCAAATGTTTTGAATTTCCAAATTCTCCAAGAGCTCAGCTACTGATCTAATCATACATACAGTTCAATGCATAATAGTGAAGTAGCCCTGAGTGATTTCTAAACACCTGCAGACTTTCACAGGTTGACTGCGTCCTGTGAGTAAACTGATGATTTACTGGAGGTTCTGGTCAGACTCTGGCAGAGGACATGAGACCAGTCACATTTATCTACGTGGCATTTTGGTTCTAATTGATTAATGACAGGGAGGTGAAATACAATTAAGTGAATATAAACCAGCAAATCTAACCTGGAGGTAAGAAGACACTGTTTTTAAATAATAGAAATATAAACGTAATCAAACTGAGAAGGTTTGGCAGACAAACATAGATCTCGCAAAAGGCTTTAATTATCATAAGACTTTAAGTGCATCTCATTGGTAATGATCTGTTATAGTGTGATCTGTGAAGTATTGAAATAAAAATGCATTTAAAAGTACTATGGTTGTTTTAAAAAAATTTTAAATGTGCACACTCTGGGTATATATCCAACAGAAATAAATAATGATTCATGTCGGGGAAGTTTATCTACTGCAAAACATTTATTTACAGAAAACCAGAAACAGCCTGAACATTCTTCAAGAAGGATGTACTGGTTAAATTATGGCACGGTCATATGCAAAATTCTGCACAAATAATCGAGACAGTGGGAGAGACTAAAAATGTACAGGTGTAGAAGGCTTCATTCATCTGCTCCTAAGCAAAAAGTGCATGTTATCAGATTACACACAACTGTGACCCTTTAATGTAACAGAAGCTCTCACACAGGGTATAGGCTGTGTACAAGCACAATCCTGTGTGTGCACATGTGTGTGTGGTAAATGTGTATCCTTGTGCATGAGTGCTGGATCAACTGTGAAAGAACACACACCAAATTGTTATTTACAGAAGAAATACTGTGGAAAAACTGAATGGGGTGGGAGTCAGGAGACACAGTTTTACTTTGGCTATATCTGAATTACTTGAATTATGACAATGAGAATGATTATAAAACTTAAATGAAGTGAGAAAAGGAAATGCAAAAGAAATCTATTTGTAAAATTAACACAAAATTTTCAAAGAAAGCTGGGTGAACAAATCAAAGTTCAGGTTGGCTTGGCCTTTGGAAGGTCTGACAACACATTTATGTTTGTGTCTGCTTTGTGAAGGCTGATGTTGAGCAGGGAAACAGGCTCTCCACTTCCTGTGCTGCCTGCACCCTTCCTCTCTTCTCCAGACCCTGCAGGTTGCCTGGTTGGGTAAGTGTGAAACCCCTGCTCTCAGACGAGCAGAGTGCAAAGGGATGGAAACAGGGATGTCATTTCTTTCTGGAAGGGGCAGGGATGGAGGAGAATGAATTAAGGCTTTATGGTATCGGCCAGAATTTGAGACAAAGCTTTTTAAACAAACAAAGAAAGAAAGAAACAAACAAAAAAGCCACCTATTCACTGGAAAAACACAATTTGCTTTGCTTATTCCCAGGCTGCAGGGTTGTGAGGCACAGAGGACCTCTCAGTCGCACATCCCCTAAATTCTGTCCTCAAATGGAAACAAAAAGAGGGCTGAGAGTCAGGGTCACAGGGAGGGAGGATTATAAAACCACTTGGTTTTATGAAAAGCTATTAATTTTTTTTGTCTTAAAAAGCATTGTTCACATCTTGGAAGAACACAGAACAAGAAGCTCAAGACTAAGGGTAAATTATTAGAAGCTTGGTTGAGAGGGGCTGCTAAGGAACAGTGGTATTTAAATTACTAAATCAGTATTTCAGCTCTGGCCTCAAGGGCTAACTGTGAGCTGAGGAGCTGGTGCAGTTCAGATATGCAACTGCTCCAACCAGAGGCTGTGGCCAGGTGCAGCACAGCAAAGAAAGTGCCTTGGATGACATCAGCAGAGAAAGCTTTGAACCCAAGCAGAAAAGGCAAGAAAAAAGGGATGGAAGGAGGGTGTGGGAAGAAAGTAGAGGGCCTATGGGTAAGGAACGAGCCAAGCACAGAAACAGAATCCTTTTCCTGTCCTCACCAGTGTCTGCTTCCTATATCAACCACTCAACTGTTACCGTCAGGGAGGCAGGAATTGTGTTTATTTTGTTCATCACCATAAACCTGCAGGCCAGCATTAAACTTGGCACACAGTAGGTTAAAAAAAAAAAAAAAAGAACTGCAGAGTGAGCTGGGCACAGTGGCTCACACCTATTTTCTCAACTACTCAAGAGGCAGGGAGCAGAGACTGGGAGGATGCTGGCTTGAGGCCAGCCCAGGCAAACAACAAGACTCCCCCCATCTTTTCAATAAGACATGGTGGCATGCACCCATCATCCCAGCTACATGGGAGGTATAGGTAGGAGGCTCATGGTTTGAGGCTGGCCCCCGGCAAAAGTGAAAGACACTATCTGAAAAAATAACAAACAAAAAAAGGCAAGGGAACGGCTCAAGAAGGAGAGCTCCTGCCTAGCAAGTGCAAAGCCCTGAGTTCAAACCCCAGTACTGCCAAACAAAGCGGAGAAGAGATGGTAAGGTCTGTTGTATGAATGGGATGCCAATCTCA